AAACACTTTCTTGGCTCTTCTGCTGTGCTTTCGCTTCTTACTCTACCCTCCTCAAAAAGGACACCTATTTAGAGTCTACTTCACGAACATTTCCTCACAATAAAATATTAAAATAAAATCAAATACTCAGCTTTGATGCTAAACAAGTCTGAGTCTTTTCACTTTTCAGAGGTAAATGTGAGAAATATTAACAAGATGAAAATTGAGCCCTGCCATGAGGTGCTGGTACCAGAAGGTAGCGTAACTCCCAAGCTTCTGGTCTGGTGTACGGGACAGAAAGCGTCCCAGGACTGCGGGGAAGTTCAGGGCAGGGAGAGGAGGAGGAAGGAGAAGGGAGAGAGAGGGAGGAAGACACACACACACACACACACACACACTCGTGTGCGGGTCCTGCTGTAGAGGCGGCCGGTGTGAGACTGCAGCAGGACACCTACACGGTGCAGAGCTAGGTTTGTCTGCTCTTAGTCCAGGGATGGTTGATGGGTTAGAGGTTTGGGTTTGGGGACAAGTGAAGCTGAGGAGCAGTCCCAGAGACAGCTGAAGAATGGCCAGAGAAGGAGAAGGAAAAAAAGGGGAGTGGTGTCCAGAAATGAAGAAGAGATCTGGGAAGTAGGGTTACAAACAGGAAATGCCATGGAGCAATTAAGATATAAGCAAAATCCAAAGGACTGGGCAACTAGGAGATCACTAATGACCTGAGCAGAACGAGATAAGTAAGTATTTTGGTTTGAAATTCATTTTCAGCTGATCGAGCTCCAGAAGAAGAAATGATTCCAAAACCTTTTCCTCTTTTAACTTCTACTGGGCAGCTCACAGGAGTGAGCAGTCAACAGAAGAAACAGGAACTCCCATCAAAGAATCAGAAACAACGTTAATATCCAGGTGAGAGTTTTAAGTTTCCCAGAGGACACCGTGGGTGTGTGGGTGTGTGGGTGTATGTCTGTGTGTGTGGTTCCTGGGAACTCTGAAGAGGGGGTTAGGATTAAAAGCGGTGGTCACAAGGAATTTGAACCTGATCTCTTAGTCATTAATATTCTTTCTAAGCAGAATTTATTCAGGTATTGATTTAATTAAAAATTAATTTTAGAATAAAATTTCCCATAAATAAGGAGAGCCCGTTTGTCAGTCTCAGAGCTGGCCGCACATGGGCATCCAAGCAAACAGGCTCAGCCAGGTGGAGGGCCCGGCTCTTAGCGCAAATTAGACCCTAGCTGTAGTTTACTGTCTGGTTTTAACTGTCACATTTTAATTATTAACATTAAAAAAATTGTATCTTAAGGCTCCTTCCAACTAAATAATCCTAACTGGAAATATTTTCATATGAAACTATTTTACAACAAGTTAAAATTAAAGGATGGCTAAATTATTTAGAATGTGTGGCCAACATGGCATTTTCTCAGCCAGGACTACGTGCTCTGAAACAAGAAGAGCAACAGAAGAACAGGACAAGCAGACACTGGGAATACGAGTGCTTAGGGAGTAAGCACTTGTTTCTCTCTTAATTCTTTCGACATTTGACACACAAGACTTTTTCTTATTGTTAAAAATCCTAACTAGATATACAAATTTATTGTTCAGATATAAGGACATTAGTAATCAATCAAAAGTTACCTAGTACCACTCATTTATTAATGTCTGCAATATAACAAAATACAATTAGGTCACATACAAACTTCTTTGCTGAGGAATTTTCAATATAGGGTTTGGAATTATTTTTACATTACAGTCATAGTCAGTCAGGAACACACATCATGACTCACATTTATTTCCCAACGGTCGTATCTAAGCATCACTTCTTTCTGATTCACGGGTGAGGGGGAAAGCGCAGGGTAAAGGTCAGCAGTGTATTTACAAACCCAAACAAAGACCTCTCCGAAAAGGACCAGTTTTTAAACACGGCCCCTCCATCATGGGCCAGGGGAATAATCCACTTTTTCTTTTGCAAGGTGATGGACTACATGGGACCCAGAGGAGACAAACATGGAAGTACTAAAAATAAATTCAAGCTGATTTGAAAGGGCAAGTGTTTTTTGTTTTAATAGCATAAGTACATTAAAAAAAAAATCTGCGCTTGGACCTTGCATAACTTACAAGTTACAGAAAGAATTTCAGGATAAAAATATAACTATAAACATAATTTCAAAATAGAAATTGGTAAAAGTACTGCAAAGTTTGTTGGTTATCTGAGAAAAAATTTTCTGTTAGAGATTTCAAATAAAGATGATGCAAAAACTGTCAGCCCCTCAAGTTTTTCCCCGATTAAGCACAACAAAGAACATGTCAGCAACTTTGCAAAATCTATTCTCACAAAGCTCACTGTCGCCTTTAAAATACTTTACTATAGAAAAGGTATTGGGTTTGATCCTGTTCTATATTCACCTTGTTGACCATCGCCTCTTACCACGTTGAGAGTCTATTACACCAAACAGTAAACTGATTACTAAAAATATGGACATCATATCCCCCAAAATGTTAGAGCCTTTAAAACTGAAGACTAAATAGGCAGCTAAACCGTGTTGAAATCATACCCACTAGAACGGCATTACTCTTAAAGGTTTTAAAGAGTCTGAATAAGAAATGTTAAGCACTGACTCACTGTGTTTCCTGTGGGCAACAAAACTATCATCTATATTAATTATATTTGGCTAGAAATACACCGTCAGAACGCTCGCTCCCTAATTCTTTGTGGCAAGTGATATGCTTATAAAATCTACTTAGCAGTAATTTTTCAATCAGTACAAAATTTTCTAAGTTTAAATATAAGAAGCTATTCTTTAATAAACTTGTCATGTCACACCAGGCATTCACGTCTAAAGCTACAGTTAAGCCTGTGACGCAGCAGTAGCAGTTGGCAAATTAAATTTTTTTTTAAAAAACCCTCAAAATTCTCATTTTTGAAGCAAAAGTCTCACCAAATTAATTATTTTCTACAGGACTCAATGTATTTCCAATTTACAATTAAAGTTATAATCATCACTAAAAATTATTCAGATAAGAAAAAAACTGCCCATACACAGGTAAATTCTACTTCTCCTTGCTGCTTCATTTCTCATGTAACTGTGACTGCTGGTTGAATTCACAGGAGCACATGAGAGCACCCTAAGGGTCGGGATTTCCTCAGGAGAGGCAATGAGAAAGAGTGAAAGTTTCACAGCTTGGAATTTGGCTGTTAAATGCATCCTCTATTCTAGTCTTACAAGCTTTTCGTCTAGTAAATCAAAAGCCTGTTATACACCAGGATAATATTCATGACAGTTCTGTATGTTTTATCCTCTTAGAATCAAAGACTCAATTCCAAAGGGTTAACAGAGGAATTACAAAGTAACTCTCTAGTTTGCATTTCCTGTAATACTAAAATAAAGCTTTTTCTTTTAGTCTAGAAATTTGCTTTTTTAATACTGTGAAAAGCCTCTATGAATCTGTTTAACGTATTTATTTCTTTTCATCTATTCAGTGCCACTGGGCATAACATGTAATGCAGTGCGTGTTGATATTTTGCAAGCACCACATGACTCACTGTACCCTAATGCACTCCATTAATCCTGTTTGGACAGCTGGGTCCAGGCATTTGTTAGCTGCATTTTAATTGTCCCGTCTTTCTTTTTCTTCTTTTTATTTATCTCTATGGCAAACTACTCAGGAATTTAATTTGTTGATCTTCAAAAAGCACATTTTGCCATTAACTTGTTTTCTTTGTATTAAAACTACTCAGCATGTAATTTTCTTTCATAAAATCAGTATATATTACTATTAACAATTAATTTTAAATAACAGAGCAGAGTGAATTGCATCACTGATAAAATGCTAGGTTGGCTGTAATATCACAGAAAGTATCTTTGGACTGCCATAATGCAAACGATAACAAGTTACTGAAGTACATATTTTTGGCATTTTCAAGGTCTGCGCACCATGAGCAGCTGTCGAACAATAACAAGCCTTACATCGCAAACACAAAAGAAGACAGACCACTAACAGGCGGGCTTTGTGTCAGCCCGGGGAACTGTTACATTTACACTTAGGTTTCACTTTTTATTAAAACGTGAGCTTCTTTGTAAGAATTATGAAGACAACTGTAATAAAGCTTACACTTTCTTGGCACAGTCTGCATCCCTGATAGCTGTGAATCTTGAATGCATAATAGAGCAGTGCAGGAGCTAAAACAAAGGCTCCCAGAAGTTACTCGTAATCTGTGCTGTAAGCAGACAGCCGAGGCTGGATAATGGGGTTTTCTAATCACTGGTGAGCACTCTTAAGTCAGATCCTAAGTCTAGAAATAAAGAGAACTGTTTAATGGAATTTTTCGTCTGAAATAATATTTAGCCAAGAACTGAGAATACAGTCTGCAACAGTGCTTTATAAAAGATAAGAACACCAAATGAAGCTTTAGTCAGCTATTTCAATGACGAAGTAGAAATGTTTCACTTTTAAAAGTAAATTCTCTGTGAACTGAAGTATTAAGAAAACTGTATGAACGACAGGCGAGTAAAGCACTAAAGAGCTGGCGGGCGCCCTTCACGTCGGGTGTGCTCTCGTAGAGCTCCCCACTGTCAGGTCTATTTCGTGGATATAACGCAGCTTAAAACAAGTTTTATAGATTTTCAATTTTTAAAACCACATACAAAATTATAAGTTTTTAAAAATGTTTCATGTGGGAAAAAATCAGTTTAATATTTTCTAGACATTAAACATTGTTTTAAAAAAAATCAGTTTCCTCACTAGAGGACTCAGAAGTTATACTAGTCAGTGAAAAAAATTAAGTCTATTGTTTGGAGGAGTATTTTTAAGTATCTGAAAAAAATGGCCTTTATTTGATAAAAGTGCTTGTTTTGGTATAGCCCTATATATAAATGAATTATAGAAGTAAAGGTGTAAAATAATATGGGAGGAAGTACTATATTTCAAAGAGTGATCTTTCTGAAAAAAGTCTAGAAACTAGAAGTTTATAAAAAATATCTTGAAAAGGTACAGACTTTAAGCGAAAAGTTCTCACGTAAACTTACCCAGTGTTCTTGACATCACAGGCAGTGCGGAGCTCAAGACCAGGATTGACACACAGTTCCCAATGATCTGTGATGGGAGGCAGAAGGAGCACCGGGCAGTCACACGGCACGGGGAGAGCAAGTCCGCCCACAGGCTGGCAGGTTACTGTGCACGCCAGTTACCTGCTGTACCTGCTGAATTCTTAATGATACTACTCGACGTAGAAAACAAGGAGAACAAGAAACTGTTTCTACAAACACCTGCAGTTCTATCTGTAAGCTCTACAGGACATGTACCGCACCCGGCACAAACACAAAGTTCAAGAACACTTAAATTACTTTACACCGCAGACACGCACTTTACATTACTGATTGAGGTCGCCAATTTCAAGAAAGTCTGCCTGACAAGTAATGAAGAATGAGTACTTTTAAGAACTTCTGGCTCTGTTGTTAAAGCCAAGACCACTGCTCAAGATACATAATATCTACTTCTAGTATGTTTAACGATTGTAAGATGCAACCCCAAACACCTAAGTCCTAGGAGTCCATGACAGCGTATCTTGTGTGCATTCTTCCGTACCAAGTAAGAGGGGCCGAAAACACTGATGCTCAGGATTACTTGCACTAGGTGCCAAGTATCTCAAGAAGCCACAGCATGTTAGGCAGATAAAGATATGCACAAGAGCCTCTCCCCGTAAAGTAAGCTGAAATGGGGAAATACAATGAGGGAAAGCAGCCAGCCGCGCTTGTCACTCCTCACTGTCGGCCTGTGGGAACATTTCACAAGGATGCAGTCACCACAGAAGACAACAGCCTTGTCACTCGGAAGCCAATGACACACCGCAGAAAGTCAAATTGGCCTCAGACTACAAAATGTTTCTGAATAGACCTCTTCCGTTTTGCTTTAATCATTCAAATTTGGAATACTCTGTCTCTACTACTTGTGGCAGCTAAGTTCTTCAGACTTCAAACAAGCTCCTTGAAGTACAGTCAGCACAATCAAAGTTACTCATTAGCAAGACGTTCTCTTTGCAGGAGAAAGAGTCCTTTCAGGAGCCTTCCATGGCGGGTTAACAAGCTCGCGGCTCTCTGCATTTACACGTGAATGGAGGCCATCCAGACTAAACACAGCACATCCTTTTCCCACTCATTCAGCATTTTGAAAATCCTCCAGCGCGTGTTTACGCAACTCACAAATACCTAGAACTGCAAATGAACCGCTCAGGGCGATTCCTAAATGAAACAGCCCGTTTGTCTCGAAGCAAAAGGGAGGCACAGCCACCTAAGACTTCACCTTACCTTTGTCATAGTCGTGTCATCCTTCTTGGGAATAAAGGTTCCAAAACATCGAAGGCTATAGAAACCAACAACAGAGGACACCATAAGATAGCTATGAGAATCAAGGAAAAAGCTCTCCGAAGAATGCCGGTTCCCTTCAGTTCTCCATAGTCTCCAAAATGCCTCGAGGCCCAAACGAAAAACAAAAGAAAAGGCCACTTGGGGTGCATGAGGAAGGCTGGCTTGTTTTTCTTCCAGGAAAGTGTCTTAGTAAATTACTACTGTCCCAGAAAACTGGACCAAAAACTTGCTAACAGACAGAACTCCAGTCAGAGAAAGGATACAAAATCAAAATGATCTCAAGTGCAGCTCCCACAAAGCCAAAGGCAGAGAGAGAAGCACTTCCTATTCCAGGCCCCTGGGGGAGAAAAAACACTTTTCAGAATTCAATGACACCATTATATTCGGTTTCCCTAAAAGTGTTGTTTCATAAACATAAGACAGTTGAAATCAGGGATGTTTAATACCCCAGAATAACACCTAAGCTTTCAAAGGAAAATGAACTGTGACAGGAGACTGAGTTCATCAGCTAACTCAACCACAAGTTAACACTTCCAACAAGCTCAGTTCTCAAATGTCTTTTAAGTTACTTCTCAAAATGATATGATTACACTTACTGTTAAATCCTAAATATTCTTGGAAGAAATTTTTTAATATAATAGTACAGTAAGAATAGGACACATAATTGTCTGAACCCTGAGGCAACAATATAAACACTACACAATTAAAGTATGTCAAAACTGAAGCAAGCAAAGAAAGACAGTTGAATGTGCATATCCTGTTTCTACTCTTGCAAGTTTCCTTTCCCCAAATCTCCTTTGGGAATTCAGAGATTTAATTAACAGGGATTTTTCAAATACAATGCTATACATTTTTCCATAAACATTACAGCTATTCTCAAAATCTATCTTTATCTAGAACTTAACAAAATAAGGGGAAAAGTAATATTTACTAATGAAACCAGATAGGCAAAAAATCACTTCTTACTGAAAGAGGAAAAATTTTTTCAAAGCTTACTAATTAAAGGAACTCTGAATAGAACTACTATTTTGCTATCAGCTTCAATTACATCTGACAGATAAACCAGGATAATTAAGAACGTAAAGTCAGCCTAAGAAAAAATAAACCAATGACTAATACCATACATATTATTTATACAATCGTATTTAGACATAAAGAAGAACACCAATGGAAACTGCATACATAAATGAGGTAAGGGCAAAGAATTTATCAACTTTTGTCAACCTTCTGAAGAAAAAATGAAGACTGCCAATAGAAAGCTTATTAACTGGGATGGCAACATTTTGGAAATATTCTCTGTCTCAAGAGAAGGCCTCCAGGCAGGATTAGGAGGATCTGATTCATGGACACAATCATACGGTGCCTACCTCGTGTGAGTCCCTTGTGCTATGTACTAAGGGGGATGGTACAACACAGCACCACGGGGCTTGGGCCTTACCTAGTGTGTGGTATATGTGAAAATGGGTCAAGAAAGGGATGGAAGTCAACACAGTAGTTGACTTCCTGTTCAGTCAATGGATTAGGGTCTAAAAGAAGACCAAGCCAGGGCTGTAGATGGAGGAGGACTGTTCACGGTTGCTCGTCAGTACAGTGAGGCACCTGGAGAGTGCTGGGAGGCTCACAGTGGCACGGAGACAGTGGCAGTAACAAATGGCACCAGGTCCTGAAAGGCTGGGGGCAGGGAGCCAAACTGAGAATCGTGCTGAAAGAATTAGCCTTTGAAAGAACAGTCTCTCCATCTTGGACTGAAGGAAAGGATTAAATATAGATATTGGCTTTTTTTCTATGGGAGGAAAGGTGTCGGAGGTGGTTCAGAGAGAGAAGTGGCACGGAGGACGCAAAACCTGCCCCCTCAAACGTGCCAGCACGAGGGTTATCTCGGGCTGATTGTTTTTAAGGAAAAGAAGACTCAGGAAGCCTTCCCTCTTGCCCCTTACCCCTCACTCCTTAACTGCCTGAAAGAATTTAGAGAAAGGACTGGCCTGGAGGGGCCCTGTCACCGGAGATGTCCACAGAGAGTCCCGGCTCGGGGCAGAGGCCACCTGGCAGAACCTGGGGACCAGAGTCCTCTCTGTGGCCCATCTGCTCTTCCATCTGCATGAGAATTGCCCCCCTCCCCTTCCAAGGCCCAAGCCCCTCCCCTTTCTCCTTCTCTCAGGTGCCACCTAAGCCTCAACTGCCCAGCTTGCCCTGGGGTCTCACTGTTCTTATATACACGTAATTAAAATCTATTTTCTCCTGTTAATCTGTCTCACGTCATTTTAATTCTTAGACCAGCCAGAAGAACCTAGAAACAGTTAAGAACAATTTTTTTCCTTCCCCTAAAGCATCAAAAGTCTGAAAGAGTTTTGAAGTCATTTCTATGGGAAATGGGAAAGGTGCTAACTTTGAAAAGTGTAATAAAATGTCAAAACTTAAATGCTACTTTAAGTATCCAAAAGTTTATAGAGACACGTAGAAAAAGGATGCCATATATGAATATTTAGAGGAGACTACCTTCCATATGGAGAATATATTTAAATAGACTAATTGATGGCATTTAATAAAATCACAAATTTTTAAAGAAGAGAGAGTATTAATTCATGAAAAAGATGTGCATCTGACTCTCCTCCAGTAATTGAACATTTTGACTCAGGTTCATAAAACACCTGACTCTTCTGGAGCATGAGCCCTTACAACCACACACCTGGATCTTTTGCAAACACAATGAATCCATCTGATAAACTCCTTCCTTGTATTTCACAGAGTATATATTTTCTTAAAGGATCACAAATAAGAATTTCAGTAAAACAAAGATAAACTCTGATACGAAGTATGTAACTCTGAAACCTGGTAAAAGCCTCAGACAATCCAAATTAAGAAATCAGAAACAAAAACTGGAGTTCATAAACACTGCTCTGAAAGCTCACTGCATAAAGAAACTCATACAAACTGAAGCGGATGTATGCAGAAAGGGGAATGCTCTCATTCACTTACCTGAAGCACTCAGGGTGTACATACAGAACACTAACGCAAAAGAAAGGCACTTTAAAGCGTTTTACTTTACCCTTGTTCCCTTTGGCATTGCTGTTTCATCAACCAACAGGCAAAGAATATTACAAGCCACCAAGAGGACTGAAATAGACTACAACATAAAAAGTAAGCCGTCAGGTTTTAATTTCAAAGATACTCTGCCAAAACATATATATTAAAACCTAAGTAACCAACCAAATGTATGCTTCAGAGTAGTGGAAAAGCAGTTAAGACCAAAATTCTACACATAAACTTAAAGAAGTAATGAGACTATAAACTCCAGAGTAAATTCTTTACAATTCTGCAAATTATTATAATCTCAAAGCTTAAGACAAAAGCTAATAATATAGATTCATTTACTAACTGATTTCACCAATTGGAAACCTACAAGTCCAAAGATTTTAAAAATGGTTACACTGTTATTAGAACTAACTTAGTAAAATTTTCATATCCTATCATGAAGTTTGCACAGGGTATCTGCAACACCTTGTCTCTTCTTAATTTTCAAATGAAACAAAAGGATGCACTCCTGCTTTTATGAGGAAATAGACAATCTTGAGGACTTCCTAAAAATTACTATTAATTTCATCTTTTGCTCTACTGAGTTTTTACAAATAAAGGCATAGGTGGATTTTAATCCCATTGATAGAAAACCAGTTTACCTGAAACCATTTAGCTGAGGGAGTTGCCATACACAAATGCTAAAGTAAAAAATAATTTGCTTTATTTAACTAGGCAAATAAATTCTTACTGTCTCAATAAGAAGGAGAACCATAACTGCAGGATACACCAAATTTCTTTCCCACGCTGAAGCCTTTTTGCGCCTCTCTATTAGAAGGAAAAACAAAATATATCAGACATTTCAGTAATTTACAAAAATTCTCTCCAGATCCACATTTTCATCCCTTTCTACTATAACCAGTAAGTACTATTTTTACATAAATAATTTTTCCCAAAGACATAAATTATTTTTAATTTTCCTCCACAAGCCATAAAAATCAGAACTTTAAAATCAGTTTGCTATGTTAAACAGCCCAATCTTATATTTAAATTCTAACACTGAAGACCTTTCAACTGTTAATGAAATATATTGTGAAAGTGCAGCTTACTCTGAAAATATAGAAATACTTGCATTTCCTTTTTTATTGACATATTGCATACTGACAGATTTACACACATCTGATAGAGATCCAAAAAAATCAGGTAACATGAGTAAGAACCCCTCCAGTCCCACACCCCAAGGTAACACTTCCAGTTTCCTACAGGCTGGAGGCAAACTTCTGCTTCCAGCAACAATGGTCTACCTTACACCACACCAATCCTTATGCCATGGGACAACTGGAAAAGGATGGGTCAAACTTAACTTAAAAAAAAAACCCGTATGAAGGTATCAGAGTGCTTCCGTGATGACGGAGGCGAGGGGCCGATTCTGTGAAATGAGCTGGAGGGAGCCCGCCAGCGGGCACTACTCTCCCTGCACGGTGTCTTCCAGCACAGAACTGGCCCAGGGCCGCACGGCTGGAAATAAGGCCCAAGTCTGTGGGCAGAAGAAAATGACGCTAAAGCAAAGCTTGCAGCACACTCCACACTCAAGGTGGCCAGCGCTTGAGAGGCGCTGGGCACAGAGGAAAGGTGAGTCCGACACTCAGCTACTTCCGCTGCCCGGCGTCAGGGCCGTAGAGGCTGAGAAGAGAAGCAGAAGGCGGAGCAGGAGACAGAGAAGCCAAGCAAAGCTCTGTCAGGCTCAAGCTTCCTGAGAGGTAAAAATCAGAGCGCAGGGCTCATGAAGAAGGTGGGTCACAGAAACCACAAAACAGCCAGGCTCTCAGTCAGGACCAAGGAAAAGCTATACCCGAGGAGGAAGGCCAACCTCGAAACAGACAAGCCCTCGTCAAGACCAAATCCTGGTCCCGAACGACCTCAAGCCCCGACAGATTAGACTGATCCTTCCCTACACTAACTGCCCACCAGAAGCAAAAGGAAATTCTCTGAAAAATAAAACATCATCCAGAGTGTCCACAATTTTTGTATGAGAAACGTCTGACATTCGACCCAACATCCCAGGAGACTGGACAAAGGAAAAGGAGACAACAGAAACGGACTTGCAGTGGATCTGGATATTGGACCGAACTGAAAGAGACCTTAAGACAACGGACTAAAATGTTCAAGTAAACAAAATGGCAAATGTCACACTTTGAATCTAGAAGAGCAATCAAATGGAAATTCAAGAACTGAAAAAAACACTAACTAAAATTCAGAGTTCAACAGATAGTTTTGACAACAGTTACGACTTAGCTGAAGAGTGAAAGAGAGATGTAGGAAAGATCGGTAGAAATATCACAGACTGAAGCACATACAAAAGGAGAGAAAATATATAGGAAAACATATAAGAGTTAAAAGATCCAGCATATGTGTAACTGGAGCCTGAGGAAACAAAAGAGAATGAGCAGAAGCAATACTGGATGAGATAATGGCCAACAATTTCCCAAATGGATGAACGACATTAAGCCATACACCCATGAGGTGTCACAGATCTCAAAAAGGATAAATACAAAGAAAAAGACATTAAAAGATAAGAATAACAGAAGACTACTTTATTAGAAGTAATGCAAGTGAAAAGATGGTGGAGTGACATTTCTGAAAATCAGCATCTCTGAAAAGTCATTCTGTACGCATACAAAAAAAAACACAACGGATAAAGTAAATACGTATGTACTTATCCTCTCCCCAAACTAAAAGACATCCTTTACTAAACGGCTTTGGACAGACTGAAAGTTTATAACATAAACTAGAGATTTCATAATTTTTAAAAATATTTCAGACTACAGTAAAGTCTTTAATTAAAGAAACCAAGACCAATACATAAGGCAAGGGAAAAAGCACAGTACCTAATTTTGTCTTAAGAGTCTTCACATTTTCAAGTTCTTGCTCCATCTCCATCATATTGTATTCCACTGACGAAGACAGTCCTACCAAAAGCAAAAATATGTTAGAACTGTAACAACAGAACCCCAGAACAGGCAGCCCTCTCATGTAATGAAAATACAAAATAACACACTGCAAGTCCTGATCTCTGAAAATGAGAACAAAGGCTGCTGTGATTCACAGAAAAGTGCATCCACTTCTCTACCCCTTAAAACTTTCAAGTTCTCGCTGATTAAACACTACACGTTTCTTAGAAAATTTCTTATTTTGGTAAAATTCTTACTTGATCTATTATTAATTTTTTTTATTATTTACAAAAGTATCATGTGCTTATTATTAAAAGTGAAAGAAAATCAAGATCTCCTCTTCCCCAGCCCAGCCCCTCTCCCTGAAGTGGCGACTGTCAGCAGCATGGCTGGTGCATTCTTCAGCTTCCTGCACGCACTCAGACACTCATATACACCACAGTTACGGCTTTACTACATATTTCATAAGAATGGGTCAAACCAGACATTATTTCACCACTCGCCTTCCTAATTAGTATGTTCACGTTGACATGACAGATAGTCCCAACTTCTTAACAGCTAAATAATAATTCCAGAGTATGAATGTACTTCAATTTTATTCAGATTTATTCCATTTACATTAAGATTTTCCTCAATTTTTTGCCACTATAAACATTTTTCTCTGCACACCGAGTACATTTTGGTTCTATTACTGCTGTAGGACAGATCCCCAAAATTCAGACTGCTGAGCCAAAGGATATGAGCATTTACAGTATTAAGAGATATTTAAAGGCTACTTCTCCCCAAATATTGTGATTTCTTATAATACATTATTGTAAAAATTTACATTTCTATCAACACTTTATTATAAAATATGCTTGATGCCAGTGCAGTTTTGCCTGACTGTAGGCTAACTAAGCTCTCTGCAGGCATCTCAGGCAGACCAGGCTAAGCTATGATGCTCAGGAGGTCAGGAGGATTAAGTGCATTTCGGCTTACGGTATTTTCAATTTACGATGGGTTTACCAGAACGTAACCGTGTTGTAAGTCAAGGGAGATCTGTATTTTCCAATCTCTTCCCTGGCACTGGACATTGTAACTCTTGAATTTTTGCCAGTATAACGGGTAAAAATGTTTTCCTATTGTTACTTTAACATGCATACCACATTCAAATTTTCTGCTTATTTCTCCAATGGTTTGTGTATCTCCGTATTCTTTCTATTTCATCTGTCAAGTTCTGAAATGGACAAATTAAAATCCCCCACTACAACTGTACTTTGATCAGTTTTTTCTCAGTTTTTAAGAATGTTTTCATTACGTGCTTCTACTTGTTTGCTAAGATTTTTTTAAATTGAAGTATATTTGATTTACAATGTTGTGTTAGTTTCAGGTGTACAGCAAAGTGATTCAGTTATACACACACAAATACATACATATTCTTTTTCAGATTATTTTCCATTACAGGTTATTACAAGATACTGAACACAGTTCCCTGTGCTGTGCAGTAGGTCCTGTCCGCTAAGATCTGGGACCCTTTAAGGCTGTGACACGTTCCTTGCAGACCTCACTGTCTTAAATGCTTTTTTCTCTGTTTTCACCTTCTCCTTCCTTCATCATCGTATTGGTAATTTTGGTTAGATCAACATTCAGTGTCTACATTATTACAACACAAACTCTGTTATTCACTGCTCACCTCTGTAATGAACTGTGATGGGCTTTCCTTTCTTCAGTAACATTCTTCTTCCCACTCTGAGAGCTGATCTTTGGCTTTCATTTACTTAGTTTTTTATGCTCTTAACTTTCCTTTCAAATGTCTTTATTTCAGTATCTTGCAAAGAAAAGGTAAATGGGAGGGAATTTTTTTGAAACTATACAAGTCTGAATATTAAAGTTTTATTAAATATAAATTATTTTTTATATTTAAAAAATATAAATGAAGAATGAAAAGGTGTGTGGTCTACAGAGATTAAATCCTCATCTTCCATAGCTGGAAGGTAACAGTTAATACTTAAAGCTGGAAAATCAAGAAATAGAAGGGAACCTTCTTATTCAGTGCTTACCAGTTTATCATTATTTACTAGTTAGGTCAAAACTAATTATTCTTCCGAACCGTGAAGTCACTGCTCCGCTGTCCTCCAGCTTCCAGTCTTGACTTCCTCCTCCAGTGCCCACACGTGAGCTGCTTCTCCTTCTCCCGAAGACCGTGGAAGGCCTGTGCCCCGGGCTGGGGAGTCGTCCACGTTGCACGCTGGGCCCTGGGTGAGCACTTTCAGCCTCCACGTTCACGTCCTTTAGAGCTGAGAGATCTTCTTGATTTTGTCATTTCTCCCATCCCATTTTCTCTCCTCTTCCATTTGCAAGTCCTATTAGTCGTATGGTAGATTCTCTGAACTGGGTCTCTAATATTCTTAACTCTTCCCTATTTTTGTCATTTTGACCTATTTTCTTGATCTTCCAATGTTTTAGATATATTGTCATTTCTAAATTTCAAGAAGCCCTTTCTGTTCACCAGCTCATCCATTTTATGGAATCCTGGTCCTTCTCAGGGACGTTCCTACCCTGTGCACATTCTGTCTCCCCCTGGTGTTTGTTTGTTTGTTTGCTTGCTTGTTTGCTTTGGCCTCTGCTTTCACAGCCGAGGTCTCCCTCTTAAGTCTGGTAAGTCTTAGTTGTCTGTTCGTACTTGCGAAGGAAGCAAGAAAAATGATGATTTGAAACTCTTAAGATAGCATGGGTGGCACCGCTGGGTCATCCCGGTGGGTTTTTCATGGACACCCAGTTGCCAGGAGGCTGTGAGGCTTCCCTCCTGGGCTGGACAGATCGCCAGGGGAGACTCTTCCGTCTCTTCCTTGGGGCAGGAAAGCTTGGCTGCCCGAGTAAAGGGAGGCGGGGGCCCACACACTCAGCCAGTGAGCACCCCTCCTGTTCCCAGCCCCCACAGCCGCACCCAGGCCAGTCTCACTCTCCCTGAGAATAACCCCCCTGCTCTGCTGGAGTGGGGAGGCGGCGGTGGTCTGGGGCCCTGGGTGAAGGGAACGATGTGGGGTCAAATCACTTCATAAGCAGACTTTTCCACCAGCCTCCTTAGCTTAACTCGTTCCACTTCAACCCCACTTTCATAGGTACCCACCCAGTGGTGCCACGTCTGGGGACTTTTGGGGATTCTGAGATATAAATCAAGCACAGATGGTTTGGTATTCAACTTCCTTAGGTCTGCTAAATTAGTTACTTCTAAAATTTTCTCAGGTCTGCTGAACTCCAAAAAAATTTCTGTGGTTTTCTTCTCTCAAGTTCTCCTTCTTTTTTAGGTTTATGTTCTCTAAAACCTCAGTGTTCTCATCTGTGAAATGGGGTGTATTATTAGGATGCTTTGTACTCAATCAGAAAACTCAACTCAAAGTAGCTTAAAAAATAAGGAAATAATTTCATGTAATTAGAAGATCACACACAGAATGGGCTTCAAATTGGGTTTTCCAGCAGCTCAACAGTGACATCCAGGGACTGAACCCTGCCATCCACAGGCTAGCTTATTACGAAGACTGGTGTTCATTCTCCTTTCATGTAATCTCATAATCTCTGTTTATTTCATTTTGCTTTATTTTGCTTCTTTCCCCAGCAAGTGAAGTTTCTGTTTATTCTTCTTCCCCATGTTAATTTGACACTTCGATGGTTACTTTCTCATTTTTAACACACATTCTTAGACTTGTGTTTTTTTCAACATAACCACACAGGAATATCTTACTAGGTAACTTACCCACACCAGGGTGAAATGTTCACAAGGCTTTTTAAAGCCATTCTCTCATTGCTTTCCATCTTCCCCTCCTAAATTCTGGATTGTGCTGAGATTATTTTAAAAACATTTAGTTTGAGAGTGCTACTAAATTTTTCCATTAGTATGGAAGCTTTCGTATCCTTAACAACTAGAATGGGACCTAGCACAAATTAGTCACTAAATACACAGTTTATCAAATGAATAAATTAATGAATATCTTTTGGGGCCCTAATACATACATGACATCTTTGGAAATAAATGAGTTTTTAATTGCACTCTTTCCTGCCCTGCAAGACTACATCTTATTCAAACATCCTTAACAGGTTATGAACAGGAAGTCTGACGTTGCTCTCTCTCTCCTTCGTAAGTAACTTTTCTATGTAAAAACTTGTAAGTTTTTAAATTATTATCATTATTCTTGGAATTCATGAATCTTATAGAATAACTCTGGATCTTCCTGCTTAATAATCTTGCCTAGGTCTCTGTAACCTAATTTTTAAGGTACACTCAAGTCTCCCCTCAGCTCATTCACATTTTCTTCTATTATTTATTTACTTAAATTTCTCTCCTTTTCTTTTTTCTCCTTCTAGGTGGCTACTCTCTAGATTAGGTGTATCAGCTCTGTAGCCCAAGTTGATTGTTTCATCAGTGACTTCCTTCTCTTCGTACTTTTGTTCTGTGACGTGAAATAGTTCTTCCACTTGATTCTACCAAAGGATTAATTCAATCTTCAGAAGAGCTGTACTGTCCTTCTATTGCTACTATAACAAACGACCATAACTTAGTGGCTTAAAGCAACACAAACGTATTCTCTTACAGTTCTGGAGCTTGGAAGTTTAAAATCAAGGTGTCAGTAGACTGTTCCTTCTAGAGAATCGCAGGGAGAACCTGTTTGTCTTCCTGGCTCTAAGAGGCTGCCAGTACTCACTGGCTCACAGTCCTTTCCTCAGGCCACTCCACCCTCTGCCACTGCCACATTTCCTTCTCTGACCCTCCTGCCGCAACTGTACTCACAACACTGTGGTGACACTGGTCCTACCAGACCACCCAGGATAATCTCGAGACGCCCCACTTAATCACACTGCCAAATCCCTTTGGCCAGGTAAGGGGACGTAGTTACAGGCCCTGGGGGTTAGGACTGGGACACCTTTGCGAGACCATTTTTCTGTCTACCACAAGGACTATTTCATCTTTTGTCTACCAAATTTTAATTTTCCCATATTCTAGGCAGTCTTTTTTCTGCTCTAATTCTATCTCTTTGAAAATC